CTCTCTCTCTCTCTCTCTCTCTCTCTCTCTCTCTCTGGCATTTTTGTACCAAAGATTTGATTATTGCATTCGGAATACCAAATAAGAAGTTGTATTCTTGTCATGACTTGAAATCCTATTGAAATGACTTTTTTTTAGTTTGCGTTGCGTTTGAATAATCCATACAATTTGCTCTCCAATTGTTTACTGTTTACTCTATATATTCCTATCGCTCTCTTCGCTGTATATCTACTAATATTTTCTTATCTAAAACTCCAATCTCAACGAATAAGTGCCCAAAAAACGGTACTCTTATAAATAAAAATGAGATATTTATTTATTTTTGTTTAACGCTTCTCTCATTCTCTCTCGTCATTAGACTAAACAAAGTACTTATCATTAGATTGAATATTATATTAAGAGATTATTGTCTGACATAAACCTGATTATAACAACAATCTCAGTCTTATCTGTTATTCTCATTTTGTTTTCTAAAATTTTAAAATTTATTATATATTTGATGAGAACGTATGCATAAAATGATGAAATTTATTATTACATTATATTTAATGGTCATTAAAATATTTAATATGTTATATTTTGTGGGAATTGTTCATTAGATTTAATGGCAAATAATCTTAAACTCAGAATTTTTCCCGATTTGTGAATAAGAGATACATATTGTGAAAATAATATATTATTCAAACCATTATTGAGGGGAAAATATGTATTTTATTTCATGTAAAATATCATATAATATAACATCAATTATATTTGAAGAATAGATATTCCGTGAGTTTGTTTTATCGCAAATTTATTTATGAAATATCTATTTTATTTTAAAACAAATAAAAAATCACTTAAAACTAAAATACAAATACATTTTGTATGCATTCAAAGGGAATATTAATTTATTTATAGATATATTCTGTTTGAGAAGATTTTCTTTTAATGGCATGAATTTAAAGGAAAATTGATTTTTATATACAATTTATATTTGTATTTCTCAATATTGCTATCAAATAGCGAATGATATATTTTATGCCAAATCTTTACATTTATATTTGGCTTATTTTCATAATTTCCGATTTTATCCAATGGTTTCAAACCATTTTTCTATTCCCAAAAAAGTAGCACTTTTTTCAATAAACGCATTCATATAAAACATAAGAAATGTTTTTATAATACTTTAGATACTATTTCTATTAAGAAAGAAATATCTCCATTGCTTTTATACGTACAGAATATTCTGTTTGTAGAGAAATACAAAAAATATATAATAAATGGTGTTTAAAACCATCGGCTCTAATACTGATGTAGTGTTTAATATAAAGTATACGATTGCATAAGAATGACATTTATTTTATTTTATGGTAGACTTGTTTCCACATCTTTGATGGACTTATAGCTAACAGTATTCTCTCTCCTATTGTTTCTCACATAATATATAAATTACATGAAATCAATACAATCGTGTATTTTTGATTTGTCTCTCTCTCTCTCTCTCTCTCTTTTAAAACCATCGGCTCTAATACTGATGTAGTGTTTAATATAAAGTATACGATTGCATAAGAATGACATTTATTTTATTTTATGGTAGACTTGTTTCCACATCTTTGATGGACTTATAGCTAACAGTAGTCTCTCTCCTATTGTTTCTCATATAATATATAAATTACATGAAATCAATACAATCGTGTATTTTTGATTTCTCTCTCTCTCTCTCTCTCTCTCTCTCTCTCTCTCTCCTATCACTTCCCATACCATATATTTATAGCGAATAATTCTTTGATCGATTAAATGGATTAAAACAATTTGATTAATACTTATTGTCTTTGTTTTTATACCCGGTTTCTCAATCTATATATGGATTTGATTCCTATAAATAGACACCACTTTAACTGCCAATCGATCGACTTTTTTTTGGCCATAAAATCAATTGAATTTAATGTAATTATTGTCTTACCGTTCAGTTCCGCTATCGATTGAATTACTGCCGAACCGGCAATCGGTAGACGTGGGAAAGTCGGCGCTATTTAACTGCAGTGTTTCGGGACATCCCATAAATACTATCGTTTTTGAGCGAAATCATCGCCGATTGAAGTCTGGATTCAATTCCGACATTCGCTTCATCGCCAAAGACCTGATTCACATCGATTCGGTCAACAAAGAGCACCGCGGAATGTATCAGGTATTTGCATCGACATTATCATGGTCAATTTCAATAGTACACACTTGCATTTTGTTTTTTACATTAGTTTCTTTTAGTTTTTTTGTTGTCTAATTTACTATCAAAGCCCTCAGCTTTACTCTCCATCTCTCAATGCATTGTCTATTTTCTATCATTCAATCCTCAATTAACCCCATTTTGTATTGCACTTAATTAATGGTTATTATTATTGCCAGTATTTTAGCCTTTCGCTCGTTTTTCTTCCCTCTATAATACCATTTCTGTAAAGATATTTGCAGTTGTGTTGCATTAAAATGCCATTTTATTTATCATATTTTACCACTTATTATATATCCAAACCGTAATAGTGTTTCGCATCAAATGATTACGAGTCGGTCCAGGCGTACGCCGAACTACAATTGGGAGGTATGTATAGCCCCTCTACCCCTCCCGGTGCCCATCATTTTGCTTTCAACATATCCTTACGTATGCCATGAGATTAGAAATTTAGATAACAATACAATAATCGGCTGTTGTTTAGCAAAGAATTTCAATTTTCTTTTTTTGTTGGTTTTTTACTTTCTTGTCTATTGAATTGTTTTTTACTTTTATTTTCATATAATAAAAAATTCAAATCAAATGTTAATATGAAATAAATTCAATGAATTTTCTCTGGAAATGGGCTTTTGATACCATTTGATAGACCAGAAGAAGTCAGAGGAAGCACTGAAAGATAGTTTTCTTATTACTTTCTTTTCCTTTACTATCCGTTTGTTTTCAATTTTAAATTACAAGAATCTCTGACTCCTTATCTGACATTTATCTCAACATTTTTAGTCTCTTTCATACATTTAGAGCTCAACTCTTCTGTAAATTTCATGTACACTATATGTATGTCTTATATCTTAGAGTTTAGTTCGCGATTCAAAACTACTATTCCTTATCGCGAATGTCATTCATATTAAAAGAAATTTAGTTTTTAATACCTTTTTCTTCTCTGAAAAGTTTACAACAAAAAAATCAAATCAAACGGAAATTTCATTCGGAAACTCCACTATTGGTTATAGTGTTAGGCAATAGTTTGCATGTTTTATATTATATATATAAGTCTTTATTCAATTTTATTATAAGATTATCGAAGTTTTCAATTCTCTATTGAATACAATATAGGAATAAAAATACATTACGTTTTTAAAGAAAAGAAAACTACAAAATAAGTTATAAGAATATATTAGATATAAGTTTTTTTGGTAAATAAGTTATTCAAAAGAGTACTTTTCTTTGCTATTGAATTAAACTTAAGTATATTTTTCTCTCTCTTATCAGTTCTTATCTCTTATTTGATTCAAAACTTTTCTTTCGCTTATAGTTTGGGATTTTTGTGCTTTAATTTAATAAAAAAAACCTCTTTTTACTCTTTTATATTGCATTTGATAATTAAATTTTTGAATCTCTTTCAAAACACTTTCACATATTCTTTGAGAATTTAATTTTTAAACTATTTTTTAATCATTTTTGTTCATTATTTACCGTTTCATATAATAAGCATTTATTTAAGAAAATCTGATATTAGGCCAGGAATTTGTCTATAAATTGCTTAATCATATCATGCAATAGTTGTACGGATAGGAAATAAAATATTTACTGCTTTTATATGCATATCAATACTTAAACGCAATTATTTGTGATATTTGTATCCATTCTACTAATGAAACACTCATTTCGATAGCAAATAAAACGGTTTATTTGCTAATAAACATAATATTCATGAGGAATATATGGCATACTTAAGGAATATATAAGAGATTGTTATGAATATAAATCCATACCTAAAGCAAATATAATGAATATATGAAACAAACAGACGATCCGCCGGAGTTTCGGGATGTGTTTCAGAGCCAGACCTTAGAGCCCGGGCCCTCACTATCATTAAAGTGTATCGCCGGCGGAACTCCATTACCTCAGATCACTTGGCAATTGGATGACTCGCCCATCCCTGAGAGCCTTAGAGTCCGTTTTGGGGATTACGTTACGAAAGTAAGTATTAAAATACGTCTATATATTGGCGTTTGACTTATCATTTAGACTAAATGTCCTTATATTCTGTGTATACAGTTCTGTGGTATAATATACTTTATACAGAGAATTACTTATATATACAGAATAATACTCTGCTATGTATACAGAATGACTAATACAAATCTCTCTCTCTCTCTCTCTCTCTCTCTCTCTCTCATCAATCGTCGCCTATATATGTGTGTATTTCACTCAATCAAAGGACGGACTCGTTATTAGTTATGTGAACGTAAGCGAAGTGCGCGTAGAGGACGGCGGCGGATATGCGTGCAAAGCGGACAACGGTGTCGCCAGTATTGAACA